GGCTTTATGCCAAATTCTCCAAGTGCGAGTTCTGGTTACGGGAGGTCCAGTTCTTGGGGCATCTCGTCAACCAGGATGGGATTTTGGTCGATCCGGCCAAGATTGAGGCGGTTATGAGTTGGGAGGTGCCGAGATCTCCCACCGAGATCATGAGTTTTCTAGGACTGGTCGACGACTATCGGAGATTTATCAGGGATTTCTCCAAGATTGTCGTGCCTCTCACCAGGTTGACCCGGAAGGGTGTTGCTTTTTCATGGGGTCCGGAGCAGCAGACCTCGTTTGAGACACTTCGCCAGAGATTGTGCGATGCCCCTGTGTTAGCCCTCCCGGAAGGGATGGAGGATTTTGTGGTGTATTATGACGCATCGATATCGGGGTTGGGTGCGGTGCTTATGTAGATAGGGCATGTAATAGCATATGCATCGAGGCAGCTGAGGCCTCATGAGACGAGGTATCCCACCCACGATCTGGAGTTGGGGGTAGTGGTAGTGGTGTTCCTCTCAAGATTTGGCGTCACTATTTGTATGGGGTTCGGTGTACCATTTATACGGACCATAAGAGTTTGAAGTATCTGATGGATCAGCCCAATCTGAACATGCGTCAGAGAAGATGGTTGGATGTGGTAAAGGATTATGATTGTGAGATCCTGTACCACCCGGGCAAATCTAATGTGGTAGCCGATGCACTGAGCCGTAGGGCGGAGAGTGCCCCGATTCGAGGCACTTATATGAGGTTGACAGTGATGACCCCGGTGTTGGACACCATTCGGGAGGCCCAGGCAGAGGCCGTGATACCAGAGAACCGCAAGAGGGAGCGGGTGATCGGGCAGGTGTCCGAGTTCGTTACGGATAGTCGAGGGCTGATGACCTTTCAGGGTCGGATTTGGGTGTCGTATGCAGGCGGGGCACGTACCATTCTGATGGAGGAGGCGCATAGATCGAGGTTCTTGATCCATCCCGGGGCCACGAGATGTATTTGGACCCGAAGAAAGATTATTGGTGGCCCTGTATGAAGAGGTATGTCGCGTGGTTTGTTGAGAGGTGCTTGACCTGTCGCGAGGTTAAGGCCGAGCACCAGCGTCCGCATGGCAAGTTGCAGCCGCTTGAGGTTCCCCAGTGGAAGTGGGAACAAATTTCCATGGATTTCATCACCAAATTGCCAAGGACCGCAAGGGGTGTTGATGCAATTTGGGTGATCGTCGACCGGCTGACGAAGAGCGCGCATTTTCTTGCTATCAGTGAGGGCTCTTCTGCTGAGAGGTTGGCTGAGTTGTATGTGAGAGAGGTGGTATCGCGTCATGGAGTTGTATGTGAGAGAGGTAAGAAATCATGAAAGTGTTTTTTTCGGAATTTTTTCTTGTGAATCATCTTACATTTGAATCATCTAATGATTCATTTCGTTTTTATGCTCAAAATATATGTATATAAAAAATTTCTTATCTTTCTACCAAAATTTTCCTTCTTATTTGATCTTGATTATATGTGTGTGTGTGTGTGTATATATATATATATATATATATATATATATATATATATAGAGAGAGAGAGAGAGAGAGAGAGGTGTGTGCATGTGTGGGTGTGTGTGTGTGTGTTCAAATGAGAACATTTCATAAATCGAGAACATTGAGAACAATTATGAACCACTAATTTAACCTTTGAAAGTTCTCAGGTTGATTAAAAAAATTACTATTTATTCAACATCTTTTTGCGTTCTACTAAACACCTATATAGTATAATATTTCACGATCGGAATGACTGACACAACGTGGAAACTATGTTTCTTCACTCTCAACAGATTATTTTTTCACTTCCTCACTTCACCACCACTAGTTCTGTAACACCCATTTCTCAAATTGGATCAGTGAATGGTATTAAGGAGTCAAAGACAATGTTTTTTAGGAAAACCATATGCCACAACGTGGCATGAAGGGTGTCACGATGTGGCGTGAAAATTAAAGAGCGTGTGTTCGGGATGGTTGTCGCATCGTGACAAATGGAGTGTCACGACGTGACAACAGTAGCCGCTCACGCCCATGACTTTTTAGGGTTTCTCCCTTATTTATAGCCATTAACTCATGACCTAACGTTCCTTTTCAACCTCCAACCTCTCTCAGCAAAACCGTAGCTTCTCCCCTTGCCTTTTGAGCTCTCTAATGGTGTTTTGGCCTCTTGAAGGTTGAAGAAGGAATTTGTTGAGCAAATGACCATCTAGCAATCTTGTCTACATCTATCGGTGCACCTTTTGGACTTAGGTAAGTCTCTAAGTTCCCATCTTTTTGGTTAATCTCTTTGTGGATCTTACTTCTGAACATATTTTCTTCATGATTTGTGGTTATGATTGGTGGGTTTGGATAAAGTTGGCAACTTTATCACTCCTTGAAGTCCCTTGGTTATCATATGATTCAAATCTAGACTCTCATGTTGTTTGGTGCAATGCATGGAGCTTTGACTCCATTTCTCACCCTTTTTAACCTACTTTTCTTGAAGGACATGCATTGGACATGTATGTCCAAAAAATAAGGATTTTATAGTTCTTTAGAAGGGAAGGAAGCCTTCCGGAAAGTTGGAATAAAGGACTTAAGGGATAAGTCCTTAATGTAAAAATGTAGCTTATGGTAGTCGTCACGACGTGACAAAACCCATCATTGCGACTGTTTTGTGTATGCTTCCCCACAACGTAACCATGGAATGGTCATGATGTGGCATTGACTTTGATTGGGTTGAATGTTGACCTTGTAGACCTTTGACCATTCAGTTTTGACCACTTTAACTTTGGGTCAAACTTGGAAGATTTAGATCTTAATTGAGAATTTATCTGTTTGGGGTGTTAGTCGGTATGGGGGATTGATTATTGCAAGGATTTAGAGTGTTGATTTGCTTCTCCGGTTCTAAGAATCAGGTGATTTTCTCATTATGCCACGTATCCTATTGTATGTCCTTACCATGGTAGGATAGAAGTACTATTAGAATACGAGTGTACTAGTTGGCTAGGATAAGTCCTTTGTATGAATGTGCAGTATATGACACTTGGTGTCCCGGTATGCTAGACTGGTAGGGACTTGCTTGTTTATCGTATGGTACTGCTAGGAGTTATGATTTGTTGTATTTAAGTGCAAGAAATAGCAATGTACTTTTGGTATATGTTGTATTTAAGTGCAAGAAATAGGAATGTACTTTGGTAGTTTTTGTTTATGTTTGATAATGTAACTTATAAATTTATATATGTTATTATTTATTATGTAGTTGGAAAATCTTCGGGGAATGCTCAACGACTCGGCATGTAGGGATGAGCTTTATGCGTTTTTTCAATCGGGGAATAATCAAGGAGGAAACGATGGGAATGGAGATGGTGGTTTTTCGGATAATTAATTTGTTTGTTGTATGTTAGACTTGTCGTCACACTTTGCTACTTGTTAGAATTGTAAATATTTTGTTGTTTATTTTGGTGTGAAATTTATTATAACAGTATTTGGTATCTAATAGGATGTTATGTAATTTTTTTCTGTATTTAATGTCGTAATGTATCGGTTTTTTTATAACCAAAATCGTTGATTAAAAAAGATTAAAAAATGAAAAATGTTATTACCGGCGACAAGGCATCAGTGGCAACACAAAGTATTACCGGCGACATAGACATTAGCGGCGACAATTCTCATTACCAGCGACATTTTGATCAATAGCGACGACTTATTACTGGCGACATGTCGCCGTTATTACCATTACCGGCGACTTCGCTAATCTTTACCGATGACTTTTATCGCCGTTAATGACATTTTTTCTTGTAGTGTTTATTCCTATGAACTTATGTACTTAAATGTAGACAAAATTACATAAATGGTCCTTGTGGTTGACAAAATCGACCAATTATGGTACCTATGATGAATTTTTTACATAGATGGTTATTGTGGTTTTAAAATCTTGCAAAGACAGTCCTTTTAACTAATGTTGTTAACTTTTTCAGTTAAATCCTATGAAATGACATATTTGTCCTTCCTGCATAGGGACCATTTATGTACTTTGTTCCTGCCACAAGGACCATTTATGTAATTTCCTCTATTAAACAACATATTCAAACAAAACCTTAAAAACATCAAAATCCTAAAATATATAACTAAATTAAGTAAAAATAAAAATAAATAATAGAGAAAATTACATAAATGGTCCCTATGGTAGGAACAAATTACATAAATGGTCCCTATGCTGGAAGGACAAATATGTCATTTCACATAGAATTTAATCAGAAAAGTTAACACCGTTAGCCCAAAGGACCATCTCTGCAAAATTTTGAAACCACATGGACCATCTATATAAAGAATTCGTCATAAAGATCATAATTGGTCGATTTTGTCTACCACAGGGACCTATGTAATTTTGTCTTAAATGTATCAGCAAGTTGTACCCGAGCTTTGGGTCTCAATAAACTTAAATGTATCTTGCAAGTTGTACCCAGCTTTGGACTTTAAAGCAAAACTGGGACGTGTGAAGCCAAATATTAATCTAACAGAAAACATATAAAAGTACAAAATATAGTATGCTAACAATCATATTTTTGGAAAAGACAGTCGTATATTATAAGATTGATGGGAACGAAAAAATATATATCATACCTAAAGTGGTTCACCACGTACGGGATCAGTTTTAGTTAAAATAACCATTGTCTTTAACTTTTAAAAGTTACAACATTCTCTCAAAAACGACACTTAAATTGAGGATATTGAAAGACATATATTACGCAAAACATCCATTGGTAAAAAAAAAAAAAAAAAAAAAAAGCAAAGAATTAACCTTCGAACAAAAGTATCAGATGCCACAATCTACGGAGATCCAGACTACCTCAAGTGGGGTGTATGGCCCCGGCCATCTAAGAATATTGTACCATAATATGATTTTAACCAAATTAAGTTTAATTTGGACCTCAGTTTTTTCTGGGTCTGCCATGGCGTATCATACAAGATACGTGCTTCGTGCCCCGCCGTGTTGAAGTTCTACTTCTTAAGGGCATCAAACTCTTCTGATCAGACTTTTCTTCATACACGTAAGTGTTGGCAGAGATAACTTCATCATATCCTTGATCCTCATTATCTACATGCACCACATTACCGTAATCAGAGATACAAGTTAATTATAATCTGTTGGACGTCTTCTTTATAGATAACATGTGCCCCACATCTTAGGGATCGTACATATCCTAACATTACTGTAATGTCAAGATAACCATGAATATGAGACCAATCTTGAGGTTGAAGATCATGATACATCTGCTGAAAGAAACCCAACGGCATATAGCTAATCCACACATTCTCATTCTCGGCAGATTGAGTTGCATAATAATGGACCTCTGACTTAGGAATTACCTTTCCGTCAGTTACAATGCTGAAGGTGATGCGAGGAGAAGCATAATGTGACAGCCAGCTTCCATGACACACACCACAGACCACGAAACCCATCATCCTGGTATGCCATTTGTGAGGTAACTTCAAAGCTATTCTGCAGCCATCCTTTTCTTGTTTGATCCAGCTTGGAATCTTTCTTCCAGGAATAGTGATGCTTAAACGATGATTTACAGCAACACATTTCTGTAATCAATAAAAACATCAGGTTTATATTGTTTCTTAAAAGATTGCTACGAAGATATATGAAGATGACTGTCGTTAAATGTAAGTATGTACTAAGGATGCTAAGGATGCTAGTTGGGATTTGTCTCTAAATAAATGTAAGTATGTATTTTTCGGGGCAGAACATGTTGTAATGTGTGGAAGACATGATCCTCTTCATAGAAATAATTTGCCCTACAAAGTTTGTCCAGTTCCATGGGATTCTTTAGTCCAGTCCCATGTGACAAACGCAGTCTAAATAAGTCAAATTTGATAAAGAGGGTAAAAGGAATTACCTTAATAAAAGATAGTTGCAACATCTTATCAAGCTATCTTTGATTCTCTTCGTCCTCTAGAAGTTTCTTGCAATTAGTTATCCATATCTTATACAACCATTTACATTCGGTTGATAGATCTCCGATCTTTCTTAATGAGATACATTCATTTGCCTTCAACACTTGTATGCTTGATGGAAGCACACACAAACTTTCAAGTTGGCTGCACTCATTCAACTCTAGGCGTTTAAGACGAGAAAGATGGCGGATGCTTGTAGGTAACTGAATTAACTGAGAGTTGCCACTTAAATATAATTCTTCCAAGGAGGAAAATGCATCAAGATTTTCAGGCAAGCTTTTTTCTTGACAAAATTACAAAAATGGTCCCTATGGTTTGCCAAAAGTCACAAAGTCAGTCCCTGCTAATTTTTTTTGATGAACATGGTCCCTGTGGTTGTTAGGATCGAGACACTTAACACACGACTCTAAACACACACACAGCTCACGAAAAACAAGAACACAAGGATGAACATGAGGGATTTAACGTGGTTCGGTCCTTCTCTGACCTACGTCCACCAGTAACTAGGAATTTACATTTCTTGGTGCTAATCTGCACTCTTTCTGTGTTACACTAGATACAAAGTTTTACAAATACAGAACAATCTCTTATATAGAGATGGAAATCAGAAGTAGTCAAAAAAACACAACCGGGTTCACATTCAACACACGGTTCCTGCCATTTTTGACTAGCTTTTCTGTGGATTCACACTCAACAATCTCCGTGGATTCACACTCAACAATCTCCCACTTGAAGCCACGGAACAATCTTCACCTGTCCTTCAATTGTGCATCTGTATTTATAAAATTTTGATCTTAACTCCTTTCCTAGTTACCCTGGCCTTCTCTTCAATTAACTTGAAGGCCAGTTGAAGCTTTCGTTAGCTCCAACACATCAGTCATGGCTAAGTCTGCCACTGACCTGTTCTCTGTCTCCACCGGCTCCCACTGAAATGAACTGTCCGATCCTGGAACATCCTGAGAACAAACGGCACTCTCCATGTGAAGCAGATAATCTGGAGAGACTTTTACAGATGGAATATTGGTTCTCTTAACCCACTGTGTTCTGGGTATTCTAGCTGAAGCACAGCCCTTGCTCCCACTGCTATGAATGCCCTTGACTGGTTTTTCTGAACCGTTCCAAACACGTTCAACCTGAATCTGACCTGTGACTCTGGGTTTGCCATCTGCAAAGCAAACCTTCTTCTGTCCACGAGACTCTATGAACCGGATTTTGTTTTTCTTCTGAACTGGGACGGTTACTCCCTCAGACGGTAAACTGACCATATATAATGAACCCCTCTTATGTCCACGAGCTATCACAAGATTTCTTTTGACAACCTTCCACTGCCCATTCCTGAACTTAACCTCGTGTCCCCGTTCATCCAACTGCCCAACAGAAATCAACTGTTTCTTCAGACTTGGAATTACCCGGACATCCTTCAAAGTCCATGGACCGACTGGAGTCTTCAGATCTAAGTCACCTATGCTCGTCACATCAAGAACCTCATCGTTCGCCAGTCTTACCTTACCAAAATCCCCTTCTTTCAGATTCCGCAGTGCTTCACGGCTGTGGGTAGCGTGAAATGAAGCACCCGAATCCATAACCCAGGAATCCACATTGGTCTCCACACTACAGATCAAAACATCATCATCTGAATGGTCTACTGCAACGTTAACTTCTTTCTTGTCTTTTGGACATTGATTCCTGAAATGTCCAACCTCTTTCCAGTTCCAACAAGTCACATCATTTCGAGTCCTCGACTGACTCCTTCTCCTGTTCCCGCTTCCACTACCTCTGTTATTTCTTCTACCTCTGACCGCATTCAATTGTTCACTTGATGATTCCCCGGAATTTCTTCGTCTGACGTCTTCGCCTAGAATTAAATCCCGAATTCCCTCAAAAGTGAGCTCTTTCGATCCTGCGGAACTAGTAACGGCTGTAACTGTTCCGGACCAACTGTCAGGTAATGATGATAACAGTAGTAAAGCTTGAACTTCGTCCTCAAATTTTATTCCCACTGACCCAATTCTGGATAAAATCGAGTTCAAATTGTTGATGTGTACTGTAACTGAACTTCCTTCCCTCATCCTCGTGTTGACTAGTTCCCGAATCAGGAAGACTTTATTTGCTGCCGACGGCTTCTCCTGTTCCCGCTTCCACTACCTCTGTTATTTCTTCTACCTCTGACTGCATTCAATTGTTCACTTGATGATTCCCCAGAATTTCTTCGTCTGACGTCTTCGCCTAGAATTAAATCCCGAATTCCCTCAAAAGTGAGCTCTTTCGATCCTGCGGAACTAGTAACGGCTGTAACTGTTCCGGACCAACTGTCAGGTAATGATGATAACAGTAGTAAAGCTTGAACTTCGTCCTCAAATTTTATTCCCACTGACCCAAGTCTGGATAAAATCGAGTTCAAATTGTTGATGTGTACTGTAACTGAACTTCCTTCCCTCATCCTCGTGTTGACTAGTTTCCGAATCAGGAAGACTTTATTTGCTGCCGACGGCTTCTCGTACATATTAGACAATGCCTCCATGATTCCCTTTGCCGAGGTCTCCTTCAAAATATTGAAGGCAACATCCTTTGACAACGTCAGTCTAATAAATGCCTTGGCCTTCTTATCCAAAGTCTCCCAGTTTGCCTGTGTCATCGCCTCCGGTTTTTCACCTAAAACTGCGTCCAAGTCTTTCTGCACGAGCAAATCTTCAATTTCCATCTTCCACCAACCAAAATCTTTCCCATCAAACTTCTCAATCTGAAGCTTACTGCTTTCTGCCATTTTCTGAAAGAACAATGACCTATCTTGCAATTTTCTGGAAATTCAGGGGCCAAATTGCAAATTTTCAAATCTGCTACAGTGTCTGCTACAGTGTCTGCTGACGTCACTGCTGACGTCGTGCTACAGTTCTTGCTACAGTGTCATCTTCTCCGGCGAACTGGTTTTCCCGGTCACTATTCCGGCAAACCTTTGACCGGCGATTTGGACGTCTTCCGGTGGTCAAAAAATTCAGAAAAAAATATTTTCGGAATCTTCGGAACGAGACCTTTCCAACGGTATACACCAAAATCGTTTTTGACGAAAAAAAATTTCGACCAAAAACTTAAAATCACCTTCTGGAGCTACAACCTTGCTCTGATACCACTTGTTAGGATCGAGACACTTAACACACGACTCTAAACACACACACAGCTCACGAAAAACAAGAACACAAGGATGAACATGAGGGATTTAACGTGGTTCGGTCCTTCTCTGACCTACGTCCACCAGTAACTAGGAATTTACATTTCTTGGTGCTAATCTGCACTCTTTTTGTGTTACACTAGATACAAAGTTTTACAAATACAGAACAATCTCTTATATAGAGATGGAAATCAGAAGTAGTCAAAAAAACACAACCGGGTTCACATTCAACACACAGTTCCTGCCGTTTTTGACTAGCTTTTTTGTGGATTCACACTCAACAATCTCCGTGGATTCACACTCAACAGTGGTTTCCAAAACTTGCATCAATGGCCCTTTTTGCTGACGCCGTTACTGTTCATCCGTTAGTGTAAGGGTATTTTGGTCTTTTCAAGTAGCAGGGACTGGGTTTGTGACTATGGGTAAACCATAGGGATCATTTATGTATTTTTTTTCTATATTTTATGTTTATGAGTTTGTGACTTTTCTACCCATTTACTTTTTAAAATATCACTTTGAACCCTTCACTTTGAACTTTGAAAAATGTTACTTTCACCCCTCTATTTTCTAAATTTTCGTGTTTAACCCCGTATTATATATAATTTGTTTTTTATTAATAACTTTCGTTCGCTGACCTAAAAAAACTATTTTTTCATATATTTGTCGGTATAATTCAAGGTGATCAACGTTTCGACTATAATTTAGAACTTTCTTTCGTTATTTTTTTTAAAGTTACATTGTTTTTTTTTATAAAATTGTCGGTTTAAATTCGAGCTTATTTTTCGACGTAGTTTTTTTTTTTTTAAACTTTATGTACGTTTCCTACGTATGAGACGGGTCATATATAATAACTTTCGTTTGTTAATTTTAAAAAATATATTATATTCGAGATTGTCTATGTTTTGATGTATTTTTTATACATTTTGTGCTTAATTTTATATACATTCCTATGTATCATTCGGGTGATATATAATAACTTTCGTTTGTTAGCTTAAAAAAATGTAGTATATTCGAGTTTGTCTATGTTTCGACCTAACTTTTGTTTCATGTTTTTTAGGTATCAATATAGATTCGAGTTAGTCTATATTTCGACGTAATTTTTTTTATGTTTCGTGCTTATTTTTATGTACGTGTTTTTTTTCATTCATGTTTTTTTACGTCGAAATGCAACTTTTATGACTATAATCACCAAAATTCAACTTACAAAATTCAAGCTTATAATTACGCTTTTATCTATTATATGTGAACAAACTTATACGTAGGAACATACATAAAATAAGCACCAAAACGTACAAAAAAATTAAATCAAAACATAAAAAATAAAGAAAAAGAAAAACTCAAATTTATATCAACACGTGCATAAAAATAAGTAAGATTTTTTTAAGTTAACGAACGAAAGTTTAAATAATAAAAAATATATAATATGTGACCCTAGTCATAAGTAGGAAACGTACAGAAAATAAAGCACGAAAACGTTAAAAAAATATGTTTCGCAAAACGTTTTGGTGCTTATTTTATGTATGTTCCTACGTATAAGTTTGTTCACATATAATAGATAAAAGCGTAATTATAAGCTTGAATTTTGTAAGTTGAATTTTGGTGATTATAGTCATAAAAGTTGCATTTCGACGTAAAAAAACATGAATGAAAAAAAAACACGTACATAAAAATAAGCACGAAACATAAAAAAATTACGTCGAAATATAGTCGAACTCGAATCTATATTGATACGTAAAAAACATGAAACAAAAGTTAGGTCGAAACATAGACAAACTCGAATATACTACATTTTTTGAAGCTAACAAATGAAAGTTATTATATATCACCCGAATGAAACGTATGAATGTATACAAAATTAAGCACAAAATGTATAAAAAATACATCAAAACATAGACAATCTCGAATATAATATATTTTTTAAAATTAACAAACGAAAGTTATTATATATGACCCGTCTCATACGTAGGAAACGTACATAAAGTTTAAAAAAAAAAACTACGTCGAAAAATAAGCTCGAATTTAAACCGACAATTTAAAAAAAAAAACCATGTAACTTTAAAAAAAATAATGAAAGAAAGTTCTAAATTATAGTCGAAACGTTGATCACCTTGAATTATACCGACAAATATATGAAAAAATAGTTTTTTTAGGTTAACGAACGAAAGTTATTAATAAAAAACAAATTATATATAATACGAGGTTAAACACGAAAATTTAGAAAATAGATAGGTGAAAGTAACATTTTTCAAAGTTCAAAGTGAAGGGTTCAAAATGATATTTTAAAAAGTAAATGGGTGGAAAAGTCACAAACTCATAAACATAAAATATAGAAAAAAAATACATAAATGGTCCCTATGGTTTACCCATAGTCACAAACCCAGTCTCTGCTACTTGAAAAGAACAAAATACCCTTATACTAACGGATGAACAGTAACGGCGTCAGCAAAAAGGGCCATTGATGCAAGTTTTGGAAACCACAGGGACCATGTTCGTCAAAAAAAAATTACCAGGGACTGACTTTGTGACTTTTGACAAACCATAGGGACCATTTTTTGTAATTTTGTCTTTTTGCTTCAATTCGTCTCCAATTGAGATTTAATTTTCTCAAGGAAGACAAACTTGTCAAACTATGTAAACCAACAGGTATCTCAGACCTTCGTTTGTCATTAAATCCTAACGACAACTCTTCTAACGTTTTCATGCTTCCAAGCTTCTTTGGAAAACTTTTCAGCTCCATGCAGTTGTGAATAGGGGTGTTCATAACCGGATATCCGAAAATTCGGATATCCGAATTTCGGATAGTTGATTTTTGGTATCCGATTCCGTATCCGAAATTTCGGATATCCGAAATTTCGGATACGGATTCGGATACCAAAACGGATATCCGAAAATTTGTAATTTTGTTCAAATTTGAAAATTTTATATTAGAAAAACATATTTTTAAAATAGAAAGGCATATGAAGTAATATATGTATCTAATTAAGGGTATTATGAATATGTTTTAGTTACTAACATTCATATTATAAGACATATGTGATTAAAATAACATATAATGTATAAACTAAAATCAAAATTTTCGGATATCGGATATCCGAATTATCCTAAAAATCTGAAAAACACTATCCAATTCCGATTCCGAAAAATCGGATATCCGAAATTTCGGATATCCGATTTTTCGGATAATTCGGATTCGGAATTTCGGAATTTCGGATCGGAATTTCGGATACGGATATTTTTGAACACCCCTAGTTGTGAAGATACAGGCACCGAAGAAATTTTAACTCACATATAGAGTTTGGTATGCTCTCAAGATTATAACAGTTCGTGAGATTTAAGATGCTTAGGCTAGACAAATGTCTTATTGACGATGGCAGTTTCTTTATTCTAGAACAAGAATAAAGGTTTATTTGTGATAGTTTAACCATACATGGGGAGAATTCAGGTAATATTTCAAGTCTAGAGCATCCAGAGAGAATTAGTGTCTCCAAGGATTCCATCTCAAGCCTAGATGGGAGACGTTCGACAAGATTGCAACCACTCATGTCCAAGTAAACCAGCCCTCCATGAGAACCAAGAGACTCGTGAACCTCAACCAAATTATCACAATCGGACACAATTAACCTCTCTATATTTGGGGCCCCAGAGACATCTGGAAGAGATTTGAGGCTATACAAGCTTTTGAGGTGAATGAATTTCAAGTGTGGAAGAATCTGACGAGTAAAACAGCAATTAATAAAAATAATAATGTCAAGATTATTCAAATTTCAATTCAATGCTAATGGAAACATTTTGTTATCATTTATCAATGTAAATTATCATGGCCAAAAAGAAACTGATTTCATCTACTAGATACCTTTCGCCCCTTCCATAAATGTTTAATATCTCCATAGGCCATTTCCAAGCCAGCAAGCTTACACATATTTGCTAATGGAAGAAACAAGAATGGGTATTCATTCCAACAAAGCCATCGCAGCTCATCAGGGAGAAATGTAGGTTGGGTAGAAGTGAATTTCCGGTCAATATAGAGTAACCGAAGATTTATCATGCGTGCAAAAACTTCCGCACTTAAACCTAAGTTTGCATGGATGTCATCAACATGGTATTCATTATCCATCAACTTTATGGCTTCAATTGCTTGTGGATTCTGCTACAAAGAACTAAACCGTAACTAAAACGGTATTGTTTCTAAAAACATAGATTGAAAGCAATTAGTTTATGAAGATAGTGAAAGTTTACCTTGTTTCCCTTGATGCATTCATGGATTTGTTGAAGTTGCCATAGCCTGCTATTTGGGAAACTCTCGCGAACTATATGGAAACCCATTTCCTGTATGAGATCATGCATGTCTAGCCTTTTATTTGAAACGGTTATAAGAGATTTTTCAATAAGAACACTAATCCCTATCACCGGGTCAAAACCAAAACTATCGAGTACTGTAGTTACATGTTCTTCATCTTTACCCTTGAAGAAGCATGCAATGTCTAGCTAGGAATATTTGTTTCTCAGAAACATCTAGCCCATCAAAACTTAACTTCAGTGTCTCAAGGATTTTATCATTTGATGCTTTGCCTAGTCTACTTAAAGCACTTTCCCACACGCCTAGTTTTCTTCCATGGAAGAATGAGCCTAAAACTTTCAGCGCTAGAGGAAGACAACTAGAATAGTGTATTGCACGATATGAGAGCTCCTGATACCCTTCCGGAGGGGTACTTTTCCGAAAAGCATACCTACAAAAGAGCTCAACTGCTTCCTTAATAACTAAAAATCAGGTTTGTATATGACATCTGCATCTGATAGAAGATGCTCGTCTCTAGTGGTTATAATGATTCTACTTCCTGGACCAAACCACTCATGTGTTGCAGCTAGATTCTCTAGTTGCTTAACATCATCCACATCATCAAGAACTAGAAGAACCTTTTTATTGAATGATCGTCTTTGTATAATATTAGCTCCGTGATCTGGATCATTAACAGAAAAGCCGTGACGTGTCTCTAGTATTTCACTTACTATTTTTTCTTGTAAGGCAGATATATCTTTTTCACTAAAACTTTTTTCTCTAACATCTTTAACAAATTAAGCTACGACCCTCAAAATTATGGGCAATTCTTCGAAATAAAGCTTTGGCAATAGTTGTCTTACCAATTCCTCCCATTCCCAATATCCCAACCATGCGCACCTCTTCTGTTGCTTCCATACCCAATAGAGAATATAATTCATCTACACGAGATTTGATACCAATTAGATTTTTCTCCATATCACAAGGTTGTGTACCTCTAAGATCTTTTCAACAATCTCGGTGATGATGGCAGATTCACCCCTACAGATTTAAGCTTTGTTAGCAAGTTAACTTACCAGTTTGGGGATGTCAACGCCCAATGGATCTAATTGAAAGGTTAGCATTGTAAGTAATAAAATGGTAATGCAACCGGTTAAGAGAAATTAGCCCCCATGCTGTAATTGGTTACCAAATAGTTTTGCACAAAATTCTTATAATTTGTAACACAATAATCTAACAGAGCATTAGAAACTATGTTCATAAGTCCATTTTAGAAATTGAACAACAGATCTAGGAGACCTAACCCATTGCCTGTTTCCGAGACATGCCAGCCAGATAGACCGGCAGCTGCAGCTAAAGCTTTCCTCCACTTGTTCACTTTATCTATCTCTCCCCTAAACTTGTCATCGTGTTGCTGGAAGGCAGTATGGAAGTCTCTTTTATGTCCACGATACGAACATGGGATGGATCTACATGATAAAACACCGGTAACACCATCTGTCCGGTCTGATCTCGGTCTTCCATGATTTTGACAAGCTCATCCAAACACCATGAAGAGTTGGCATAATGTTTAGAGAAAACAACAACAGCAAACCTCGATTCTTCAATGGCTTCCAGCAGCTCTCGAGATATTAGTTTCCCTTTGTGAAGCGCCTTATCGTCTTTGAACACATGTATTCCTCTTTGATCAAGAGCCGCATATAGATGATCTACAAAGTTGTTGCGAGTGTCTTCCCCCCTAAAGCTTAGAAACACATCATATATCCATCTTCTAGTTGGTGCAGAAGACGAAGAAGATGGATACGATGGAAAAGACGCCATTGAAGGTATCAAGAAGTTGAGGAGACAAAATGCACGTACCAAGTCAAACACACAAAAAGAAGGAATGGCCTTGTATCTACACGAATGCACCACGACTTCTTTTTATATTAGAAGTTGACGCCAAACTCTCTTATTAAATCTACTGGTGGGGTCTTCACATGGGGGATGAGGTCTATTTTAAAATTTCATATAATCGTCTCGAAAGGAATCTTGTAGAACACCACAAAATTAAACTTGTACAACTAATATAAATTGAAATTTTGTTCTAATTTTTGTTTAATTTTCAAGGCAACCCTTGAAACCAGTAGAAATTGGCGGTTATTTATTTCATTAAAAGTGTTACGTACCATATATAGGTCAGACCAATACCAAAAAAATTCTTGTAATCACTAGTTTCATCTTTTATCGTGGCTATTATTAGGTCTATAAACATATCACAAGTTAAACTATCCCTATAGAATAGTTTTTGTCACCAGAATATTCTTATATTAAGATTAAGCCTATTGTGTACATTTAGTCACTCAAACAATTAAACTGTCGGATCATAAATTAACTACTGTAATGTTTTATTTCTTTTATTATGCCTATTGAGAACTTATAGTCACATGTTTAATATTTTATCGTGATTATTTTTATGTTTAAAAACAAATCACATATATATTTATCACCATAAAATAATTATAATGACAAGTTTTTTTTATATGACAAATGTTTACATTTAGATGTTGTTTGTTTTTTTTTATATTGATGTGCCGCGCAGCACACGTGCAACACTTGGTCCTTCGCAACTGTTTGTTTTTCAGGAGATTTCTGACTTAAAAACTGTTGTGCGTGTGTTACGTGGCGCAGAACTTGACCTTCTGCTTTAAACCAACTTCACGCTTTACTTTAACTTATTGCTGCAGTCTGCAGAGGTTAAAAAACAAACAGACATTTTATTACATGATGCAACCGTTTGGTCTCCCTCTTCTGCTATAGAGGATTGCAGAGGTGATCCGCAGACTTCAAACATTTTCGATTTGAAAAAACAAACGGCACCTTAGTCATCCACAAGAGTTTTAACGGTGACCATAAAATACTTGTAGTGACAGTCTTTATGACTTTACTATTATGTTGCTAACTGATTCATCATTCTTCCCCAAATTACGAACGCAAGCATGAATCAAGAGGTCCCCATCAAATCTCAATAAAGAAGATATGTTCGGAAAAAATGTGTTCTTCATGATTATATAAGTAAAAATAATATATTTATAATTATAATATATCCTTTGGGGATGAAAAGCATTGCGATTGCTAGAAACGATGTGATCACCCATCCTGGGGTTAAGGTTGGTTTCCAAACGGGAAGTTCTTTTTATGTAAACCTAGAATCTGGAACGATCAATTATCATTAGTCAAGAAATAAATTGAGGTATATTGTGTAAACAACATGATTGAACTTATATATATATATATATATATATATATATATATATATATATATATATTCAACACTTCATTCTCTTCTTGATCATATAAATTCATGTTACCCTCGCTATGATTTTGTGATAAACCGTAAAATGGTTTAATTTTACTAGCAATAACATGTAACTAGGAGTATATACCCCCAAAAACTGAAAATTATAAGATCACAATCTCCAATTACAACAAAACCCCACAAACCCTTAAGTAATAATTGGCACAATAACGACTTCAATTCCAGAACACAAACAAACCCCAAATCAGCAGGGGATAAACAACAATTGGTAAAAAAAAAATTATACATAACATTGCGCAGTCCTTTTTACCACATAGTAACAAGACCCTCACCTTTGACCATAGATGAAGAGCTTGATCTTGAACTGAATAACCACCATATGTAATATATCCATTGAAAGTAACATGTATGTAGTCATTGATGTTGTAGTCGTCGATGCAGAGGATACTTCTATCCAACCTTGCATCATCTCAAAGTCAGGTCAAAGTGCTTATGTGGCTAGGAAACATGCTATATTAGCTAGTAGTGACCAAAAGAGCAGATGGACATCGACTTTATGCCCCCATAAAGCAACCAAATAACTATTGGGAGTGAATCGACCAACCCTAGAAACATTGTAGCGCATTTATGTCTTTTCCCCTTATTTACCCTATGATACAAATAAGAAATTAAGTCCTCATCATAAAATACTTATACTCACAATTTATGAATTTTATCACCACCATTGTTTACTTTTGGAGACACAAATATAATTATTTTGTGATAATCATTTATCTTTATTCATGTGTTTAATTGTGCATCATTACTAGGTTATATATAGTTACACATAAAAATTTAAGTCATCATCAAAAATTATTTATATTGTCACTGATATTTTGTTTTGTATTTATATTGTAGAATATTTTTTTGTTACATTTTAATTACACATATTGGCCACATTTTATTACCACGATGCACAAAATAGAATACAATATAGTTTAATAAAAAACTATTCTTTACAAGTTATAAATTTAGACTAATTACATCAAAAGATAAATCCAGTACCAAAACACACACATACACACACACACATATATATTGATGATATATGGTCCATTAGCATGGCTTAGACCACTCTAATGTGTCAGCCTTGCTTGGTGCACTCCCGTCAGCCTTACCTGGCTGTCCCTTGCCAGCCTTGTTGGGGCTCTTCCGCCGGCCCGGCCTGGGACTCCCTGACCTGACTCTCCCTTGCCAGCCTTGCTAGGGACTCTCTTGGCAGCCTTGTTGGGGACTCTCTCGCCAGCCCGGCCTGGCGCTCCCTGGCCTGGCGTTTCCTTGCCAGCCTTTCCTGGTGCGCGCCCTCCAGCCTCACCCGGCGCCTCCGGGCGGCCTCGCCCAGCTCCTTGCTAGCTGGGCCTGAATTGGGCTGGCCCAAAGCCTAGCCTAATTGTCCCCTATAAAGTGAACAATATCTCCTCCATGGAAGGGGATCTTCCCCTTGGCTCACCGTCACACTATACTCCGGCCGGGTGACTCAGCCGTCACACTATATTCCGGCCGGGTGGCTCAGCCGCCACCTTCCACCGTCAGCCGCCATACACCACCACCAACTCCAAGATGGTTCTATCTAGCTGAAGAGAAACATCTCAGATCTACCAGATGATCTAACTTGACTGTCGGAGCCCGCTCCCGGGGCATAGTCCTTGGGGTGGCTCTAACGGCCTTGTCTATTGTGACCTCGCAGATTCGTCTCCGGCGTAGAAGCACATCCTCAACGAAGGTGGTCGGAGCCGACGTGGCATCATTTGGCTCCATCCGTGGGACTCGAACCCACGACCACGTCGCATCATTCGGCGCCATCCGTGGGACTCGAACCCACGTCGCATCATTTGGCGCCATCCCGGACGTGAACGAGTAGCCACCATCTCAGTTGGTCTCAAGCTCGTTTTTGCCCAGATCTGTTCAGATATGATGTGTTTTCATCTAAGGTTTGCTCAAATCTATTCATTTATACATTTCTTAGTTCAGATCCGTTTGGATCTTGGCAAAGATCTATCTAGATCTGATTAGCTATGTTTCAGATCTTTCGATTTGATGCATTTTTTGTTCAGATTTGTAGATCTACTTCATTTTTAGCTCATATCTCTAGATCTGAACGTTTTTTGTTCACTTAATCACCTCTCAAGTTTAAAAACCCCAGTTTAGACCCGTTTTTACTTATATTTTCGGGGGTAAAGGAGGTTTTTACGAGTTTTTCCCTATCTTTGTTCATATTTTCGAATTTTATTCAGCAAGTTGAAGAACAAATAATATTTTACAAGTCTTTACCTCTTTTGCTTGCTCATTATCAAGAAAATTGGTTTTTGGTTCCTGATTTATCATAAACAACTTCATTCAAGTTGTTTATTTGGTGCTTCCTCTAGAAGCTTAAAGATGGAAAACAAATGATTTTCAGATATGTTGAGCAAGCTGAAGAATAAAAAAAGTTTAATGAGAAGAAAACTTTATTGGATCCGTTTTTATTTAATGTGTTGGGGTTTTTTCAGTAAGTTGGGAAGAAAAGAGGTTTCCTATGAGTTTTTTCCCAATCTCTTGTTCATACATGATCAGAAAACTGTTCTCTAGCTGTGCATTTTTGTGTACATTCTTACCTATTGCAATAATTATTTGTACATACAGCTATATGGATTGTACATTCTACAAAACCTTCAACAAAAAAAGGAAAAAAAAGAGAGGTTTTCATGGGTTTTTACCCCGCTTTCAGTTCATATATTTTTAGAAAACTTCATTTAGTTTATGATTATGTTTACAAGATTACAAGTTGTTTAGAAACTTGAAGAAAAAAATAAGTTATATCATTTTTTTTGATGATTTACTCAGAAAATTAAGAAGGAAAGAAGCTTTTATGGATTTTACCTTGTGTTAGTTTATTTTGATAATTTATTTAGCAAAATGAGAAAAAATAAGTTTTTATCATTTCTCACCTTATTTTCAGTACATATAGCTTTCATGGTTGTACATTCCTTAAGACTTTCAAAACTTACCAGTCCATATTTTTACCTTGAAAGCTACATTCATCCTCACTTATTTACAGTCTATTCCATAGTTAAAAAAGTAAAAAAAAACACAACAAAAAAATGGGGGAAAGGGTGCATAGTGCACCACACAAGTAACAAAAAGTGGTACATCTGTCAATAAAGATGTATACAAAAATTTATTATTACAAGAATGGTGTATTTGCGTCACCTAAAAAAAAAGGAGAAGATGGTCACCACCATCAGCATATTTTCTGTAAAGCAACAGCACAAGGGGTCCCACACATTTTGAAAGACTCTACATGAGACAAAAGACGTATTTTCAGTGGACCCACCCGGTCCATGGTCCATCATCTAGACAGGAAAGTCAAAGGAGGGCTCGGGTCCCACTTTGGTCGCCTTCTCTAATTAAAACCAACGGATGTCTCCTTCAAACCCCAACTCCAACTCACCAATGGTCCATTCATCACCAGCTGATGTCGTTCTGTAGCAGCAACCCATCACAA